TATTCCGATTTACCCAACTGCCAACAGTTAAATTTGTTAAATGAAAAATACTGTTTGTTGTCGGTGTTTTGTTTATGATTTTTTGTATCTTAGTGAATTACCTCCCTGTCTTGTGGACATTAAAAATTTAACTAGTAAGCATATATTTTTAAAAGCTGAAGAGTCTTCTACATAAGCAAATTTATGTCCTAAAATCAGAAAGTGGTGACCTATCGCTGAGGGAAGATGTCAGTGAAAATCCAAACAGGACAATGTCAAGGTTCATTAAGGTAATTGTACATCTTGAGAGCAGCTTCACCTTTTTCTTTCAAAATAAAACAGTTATCTGTTTTCTTTTCTACCAAATGTAAGTTTTTTAAATTATGTTTATCTCAATAAGAAATCAAATCAGTCAATAAATGAATAATAAATAGATATCTATTTTCTTTTCTACTAAACGTAAGGTTTTTTTTAATTACATTTATCTTTATCAGAAATCTGAGCAGTCTAATTGTTATTTCAGACTCTTGCATTACTGAACCAGTTTAAATCTAAACTCACTCAAGCCATTGCTGACACTCCTGAAAATGACATTTCTGAGACTGAAGTGGAAGACGATGAGGGCTGGTAAGGGCTGTGCTATCTTTATTTTAACTAAGAACAAATGGGTTCACGGGAGCCGGGGTGGGCGGGTCACTGTGTCATCCTCTCCCCGCTCCTCACCATGCTTTCCAGTGTCATTATAGGACCTCAGCACCCTTTACTTCATTTCTGTTCAATATAAAATGAAATAAATAAACACACAGAGCCCTCGATAAACAATCACCTACCACATGCTTGGTGTCTTCCTTGTATTGTGCTATCCAGTAGAAAATGCACAAGAAATACATGACGCTATTTCTGGCCCTAGCTTTCTAATATTATGAATATAAGATAAGACTCATGTTAAATAGTGAGGAAACAACCTTAAAAGACATCAATAATTTTTTAGACTTTTCCCACATTTTTGAGCTCCATAATCTTATTTCATAATCTTTCTCACTTCCCCTTCAAGTTTATGACCTGCAGGATCCTAGCAACATGTACATAGTTAATTTTATCTTTATCTTTGGATATGTTTCAGCTTTTAAACACACTGATAAGAAATAAAGAAATTAATGATATGTACTTGTCCTGTGCTTAGGACTTCATCCTATACTGGCAGAAAAAAAATAGGAGAAGAATTGTGTTTTCTCTTATCACACCCCTCTGTCCTCAAATTGACTTCTCGAGCAGTATATTAGGCCTCCCCACACCTAACTGCCTCCACCTCCCACTACACCCTGGCTCAGACACAGAGCTGCAAACAAGCTCGTGTATGACCCCCACACATGACTCACCCTCTGGAGCCTCTCAGCCATTCCATGTGCCGTCACCCCAGCCCAGAGCCCTGGCTTCAGTCCTCTCTGCCCAGCAGCCCCTCCCCTGCTGCAAAACCCTGGTCAAAACTCCCATGCTCCAGGAAACTAGTCGGCAACATTTGGTGAGCATTCACAGATCTGGAGGGTGGAGGGAGGAGGGCTGGAGTGCCCTTAAAAGCAACATAAAAACACCTATTCAGGAGAAACTCAATCATGTAAGACACTGCAACTGTATGTAAATGTAAGAGGGTCTGAGGGCCTGGTGATTGGTATGGAACGGATCCTACCTAACCTAGGATCCAGAAAACAGTTGTGTATTTTCTCCACTAATTTATAGTTTCCGTGTGATCTGGGTTATGATGCCAATTTTTGTAGTTTCCTGCATCCCTTACGATTTCTCTTACTTAAATTTAAAGTTGCTTGGAGGCAGAAGCTGGTGCTTCCCGTGGTTCTGTGCCCAGGCTCTCAGTGGGTATTCACTGACCCAGGCAGATAAAGGCACACTGCATAGAAGTTTTGGTTTTTTATATGATTGGACAGGTTTAGTTTTATTTTGGATTCCTTACATGTCTCAAAATACTTTCAAATGTTTTAGGTTCAGCCACCATACAAAAAAATATTTTGCCAAGTCCTCTTCTCCTTATTTTTGAATCCATATGCATTTTTTAAGGAAATATGACCCATGTGTTTCTGATTCATTTACACTTAACTCATCAAGATGGTGTTTTGTAAGAGCAGTTTGATGCCCAATAAGTTTTTTTAACCTTTTTATAAGCTATTTAAGTCCTTTTTTATTGAACAGGAAAGTCACCAACAAATTCAAACCCCAAAAGTTTCATTTGAAACTCATAACCCACAGGACTCAAATTCACTTTCAACTTGGCAAGACCATTTAACTTTCCAAGGTTCTTCCTATCCCTTTGGTTCAATATATGCTCATTTTGAAATGCTCATTATCTTCAAATCTCAATTAAGTGTTTTTAAAAATGCCAATCTTGTTTTTGATGGAATTTGACAATGCAATCAATACTTAATATCCTTATTAGAAAGTTAAACAAGGGGGAAAATTTCACCAGATTGGCAGTGGGGGTAGGGGGAGATCACTGGTCAATGGTGTTAGCTAATTCTCCAACTGTAAACAATAATAAGTGGTAAAGGAGGAGGAAATATGTTAAAGGAATTATTAGCAGGTCTTCTTGGAGTTCATTTTTGCTTTCAGCTTCCCTCCTACCAATCAAAGTTAGGCTGCATCTCCAGAATGTTTTGTTATTATTTGTCATACCTAAAATTGAAAGAAAATACCTTCAGCGTTCAAGGCACAATGCCGAATCACATAAAATGCATATGGTCATTATGTAAAACCCTATTGGAACACAAGCCATTGAATTTTTGTAACCTGGTAAGCAACATCATTTCTGTTCATCAGTACGCCAGTTCAGCTTTATCAAATCACTGGTGACTTAGATCCTCTCTCATAACGTATGTTCTACCCAGGAAGGGAGTCTTGTATGCAGCTTGACTTACAGCAAATCGTGGGAGTGCATGGCATGTGCATGTGTGTTGTGCATAAATCACATGGTTCCCAGACTGTTTTGCAGGTCACGGTTCCTGCTTTTCTAAGAAGTAAGAGTCAGCCAGTGTGCTGTACTACACTGTCAGGGTCTGTTATCTGAGGTAAAATGATCGCTTCTAAGACATTTTTATGTGTCCACATGAGTGGCCACACATTGAGGGATCATTTTCATTTTCTGTCAAGATAGAAACCATTACCAATTTGTTATGTTTTCTTTTACTTGGCAAACTATTTTATTTGCATTTTTGGCTGAGCTGCTGTATTGGCATGGTATACAACAGACATTTGGGTACCATTCAGCAGCATTCTATTTTTTCTGAAAAAAAAAAAAAGGAAAAAGGTGGGAGAGGGGAGAGAAAGAAAAGAAATATGATTCTATTGTAAACAGTATGAATGGTGTTTGATAATTATTCCCAGATTCCACTGTCTAACAAGGCATTTAAAGAAGTGTTATTAGGAGATCTATGCTGAAATGCGTGAAGGAAATTTTTGCCCAGAATTACTGGGATTCTTCCTTTGTTCCTTTCTACCCTAGCAGCAGTTGGTAGCAGTGAAGGCATGAGATTCTAGTTGAGCAGCTAGCAGAGTTTCTTTGCCATTGTGTTCCTTAGTCCCATGGCATCACAGACTCCTACAGCCGCAGAACCCTTCTCCTCCAGCATGTATTTCATATGGAGGAAGCATCAGTCAGAGGACTCATGTGACCACGTGGATGAAGTCCGTGTACCAGCTGAGGTTAGGTTAGATAAAGCCTGGTTAGTTCCCCAAACAGATTTTGAGAGAGCTGTGCCTAACAAGGCAGAGGGGAGTCTTCTAAAAGGAAAGGCACCAGCTCATCACACAGCAGTGTCATCACTTCCAAGGGAAGGGGAGAACGAAATCTCTCAGAGTAGATTACTATCTTGTGAACATTAGCTAGTCCATTGAAAACTTCTTTCCAAGCTGTTAAATTTACTGTTGCCTTCAGACTTTACAACAAAATATACATTGTAAAACATTAAACAGTATAAAGGCCTGCCTTCTGTCCTGTCTCATTTTTTCTCATCTTCTCCCCTATACACACACTTTCATCCATTGTACCTACAATATTCAGTGTTATAATAATTTAAAGAAATACTACCAATTACATGGTTGCCTCAAGAAAATATTTATCAATTATTATATAAGTAAAAGATGTTCACTGCAGAAAGATCAGAATATAAAACACCCTGAAAAGAAATAAGTTAAAATCATCTTTGGTATCAAATTCTAAGATAAATACTATCAATTTGTATGTATTAATTTACATTGTTTATGCTAAATCTATAAAAGCATGTTCATACTGTTTATACTTATTAATAGATACTTCTGTACACATACATATTTGAAGCAGAAATGAGACCATCTAGTACTCTAGTTAGAACTTGCTCTTTTCCTTCAGCAACATTAGTGACTGCTTCTCCCTGTCATACATAATTTTGTTATGTAATTTCTCTATTTTGGATTTTCACCTTGAAGCAATTCAATTAATGGGATGACCCACAAATGTACCTGACTGTGTTGTTGGGTATTTAGGCTCTTTCCAGTTTTTCTTATTATAAACAAACCATGCTGGAGTGGACATCCTTGTATCTGTGTCCTTGCTATTTTCTCAGGATACATTTCTGAAGCTGGAATTGCTTAGTTAGTGAGCATGCATGTTAGGCCTCTGCTAAATATATTCAAATGGTCCTTCCAAAATGTCATTCCAATTTATATTCCCAAGTAATTATCATTTCAGACTTGCCTTAAGGGCTATTAGATTCTCAAGAATTAATTCAGGGTCTTTATAGTATTTAGTGAAAGAGAATAATGCTAGAAGAAATGCACTGACTTTATAATTTTAAAAAACATACACATGCAGTCTGGTTTGCTTCTGTTTTTAATAACACTGTGCACGTTTCAGTACAGCCTCTCAGGGGCCTCATCGCTAAGTGACCCTGTTCTCGGTTCTGAAACCTTTCCTAAAATAATCCTGTTAGAACCTCTGCCTCTGGATTTTTTTGTTTTTCAGTTTTATTAGTGCACCTTGGCTTGTGTTGAAAATTAGTTTTATGAATCAGTCAAGACAGTTTGTTTCTGCTAGAGATTGGAGTTCTGAAAAAAACAAGGTTTGGCTCAAAGTTTTAAAGCCATCTTCTGCAGATAGAATAATATAGAAGCAATAAGTACCAGTTGTGTGATTCCAAAACCGTGATATTTTAATAATGCAGATGTAAAAAATAATAAGATTATTGACTTTTACACTCAGTCATGTCTCATTGTAAGATAGCATTAGAGAACATAGCTTCATCTCATTGCCTATGCTGACAAAACTTTAAACACCTTTAACATGGAATACACACTGTAATTTGTGTGTAATTTGGTCATATAATGAGTGAAGGGGTGCAGTGACAACAACTGAATGTTTGAGTAGCAGTCCTCCCTTTATTCAAGCAGGATACTGCCAGGCATGGGTGACAGGTTGGGGTGGGTGAACACAAACATAGCTAGAAGGATGAAGAAGCATGAAGGCTGGGTTAGTCAAGGGAGCAGTCGTCTTCACACTTCATTGATAGCGCGACAGCGTGCCTCCAGTTTTGGGACCCTTGGCACTCCTGAAAATTATTGGAAACCCCAAAAAGTGTTGTTTAAGTGGAGGATAGTTATCAATGTTTCCCTCATTAGAAATTCAAACTAAGAAGCTTCAAATCTCTTTAAAATAATTGTATGCACATAACATGTTTACATAAATAAAACACTGATGAAAAATGATTAGATCTACAAAACAGAAAAATTTAGTGAGGAGGGTGCTATTGTTTTACATTTTTCTTTTTGATCTCTGAAGTCTGGCATAAAAGGAATACTTGGATTCTAATATCTGTTTCACTCTGTTTTGGATTCTCTGAAGAATCTCAGGAGAGAATGGCAGTGGCCACCCAGTGGCCAGCTGGGACCTTGCTGTCATTCTGTCCCTTATTTAAATTCTCAGAGTGCTTGCTGTGTGCTGTAGGATCACATCCACAAATGCACCATCTTCACAGGGTCTCTCTCCTGCTCTTCACAATCTCCTTGTACCTCTCCTGGGCTTCCTTTTTCCAGTCTCCCTCCAGATAATCAGAGCTTCCCTTTCAGTGTTGTGCCCTGCACTTCCTGCAACTGCACCCACGTTCAGAGCCACGCTGTGGTAGCAAAGAGGGGGAGAGAGCAACAGCCTTGGGTCACGCGCCCTGAGGGCCACCTCCTCAGAACTAGTGCCAACACTCCCCTTTTTCTCCTTTGAAGATTCCCAAATCTACACTGTGCTGCTAATCCTTTAAGAGTTATGCATTTCTCACTCATTTGTGCAGGATGTCTCATTTATTTCAGATGCTACCTCTTCAGTTTTATTTTTATTTTTTCTAGAAAATTCAGATGGCTCTGAATTCTTCTTAGCATGAATCACTTTTTTTCTTTAAAAAGAAATGTTTCTTAATAGTTATCACTGGACTGTCTTTAAAGTAGTGTTTGTGGAAAGCACTGTACCTTGATAAGCCTCCCAGGCTGAAGAACAGTACCTTAGCAGCATCCTCAAATCACAGGCAGTGTCAGCAGTCTACTGTGCCTGAGAGAAGGGCGCGGGGAGCCTGAGTGCTGTTGAGGCGCGGTGCCTGGTGTGACCTGCCTCCAGGATCTCTTAACAGCCTTCAGAGAAGCCCTGCTTATGTGAGCTGCGCTTAGCTCCGTGTGGAGCTTCAGAAGGCCTGAGATTCAGATTCTTTTTACATGGTCTGTGTGGACCAGAGGAAGCTGCAGCACAGAGGCAAAGGAAGCCTGGAGGTCACAGGGATGTTGGCACGGAGCACAGACCTCTGCAGGGATCTGGATTGCTGTGGGTTTAGAGAGGTGCAGAGTAGCCCAACTGAGAGGTGGCTCATAATAAGATGATATCTGAAGCCTTAAACCAAGTGAATAAAGCATGTTTGGCTCCATTCATCTGAATGAAGCAATACTGGTAATTCATGAGGTCAAAAGAAAAGTGTGTTTTGTTGTAAAAGTTTGTCACTAAACAATCTTTAAAGAAGTTGATCTATTTTTTATTCACTAATTATAAAATACTCCTCCTTGTTCTTCTTGCCAAGACTAGGAAGCCCTTTAATATTAAAATTTCAACTAAGTGATCAACTGCAAGACCAGCATTCAGCTCTCAGCTTTATGGGGAGTACTGTTTTCAGTAGTTACTGTAATTGTGCTATGTATATCCTTTACTGGAGCTCTAGAACTTTTATTTAGACATCAACCTTAATTCATAAGCTTCTCTTATTTCCCACCATATAGGTAAGTGGTACTGTTTACTTAACGGTTCAGATAATGAGTCATGTGTACTCAGTGAACTGCTGTTATCATGCAACCCTTATCCCTGTTTATTAGTTAAGAACTCTGGATAGTTTTTTTTCCTATAATGTGCTTTGAGACATATTATAGGGACTGTGGCAAGTAATTGTTAATCCCCAAGCTATATATTATATGAATACTTACCATCTGATGAAACTAAAATCTTTCAATGGCATGAAAACTGCAGCATAATATTTATGGTTCAATTTATTCTGATAGATCCAAGTAATTCAGTTTGAGTATTTTGAAAACTATTCTTATTTCTTGTAAGTGTTTTTAATGTAAATAATTTGTGAGGTGTGGAATGTGGAAAAAAGTGAGATGTGACGTTTATCCCCATTGATTTATCATCTAATATCCTAAGTGAGATAAGATATCACTGTAAGGAAGGTTTCTACTTAGAACAGATCTTGGGAGTAAATTATGAAGTGCTTTCACGGTCATTGGCAAGAAACCTTGCATTCACATAGGACTCTTAACTCTTCTGATGTGGTTTAATCCTTCACAAGCTTGGGTCCAATGTCATGAGATGTGGTTGGTAGTCACACACTGGGGACAGGAACCCAGGCCTCTTGACTAGTGTTCTACAATGCCTCTTGAATATTTGTTATATATTTACTTGACCAAAGTGAGGCTTATGAACTCTACTATTACTTTATTCAAGTTTGAGTCTGTGTAGGTCAATTCACTACATTAGAACAAATGGAATCCAAATAAAGGTTGAAAATGAACAAATTTGCTCTGCCCCAAGTGGCATTTATATTTTTAGAGGTTTTTTTTTTGGGGGGGGGTTGACATTTCTGAAGTTACTTAGATGTGAAATCTCTTCATTTCTTTTTAACCTACTTATTAAATATTTTTAGCCAACTATCAGTTTAGATTAATTAATAAGATTATAAAAAAATAACAGAATAGGAACCACTTACACTTAACTTTAAGGTAAGTATACTTCCTTTTCATGTATATTTGTTCTAACTCTTCTGCATGTAGTAAGGAACTGTTCATTCTTGAAGCAAATATTTGCATGCACTGTATTTCACGTGCCCTGCTAAGGCCATTATCCTATCTCTTCTCATGTAACCTTTACAAAAGTTCATAGGACTCATAGGTTAGAAACCAGCTGGGGTAGAATTCCTACAGCTCCACCAGAAAATTAGTTTTATTCCCATTGTATAAGTGAGGAACTGAAGGAAATCAGGCTATTCACCCAAGATCACACAGTAGTAAATAATGGGGTCATCTGTCGCTCTTAAGAGCCCATGATGCTTCTAGAACACAGGCTTCTACCAACAGTGATTCCACCCTGAAGCTCTGATCTTTAGAACAAATGGGAAGAAATCAGCTTGACTTTCAACAGCCTTTGATCCTAAATAATTTCTTGTGGTGCTAGTTTCGGCAGATATCACACATTCACATCTTTGGACAACTTTCCTCTTTTTTTATTTTTTAAAGAAATGTACCTTATGGAGGTGTCCTCTAAAGCAGTCATGCTTCTTTTGGCCATGGAGAATTCTGAGACTAGACCCCACTCTGTAGTCCCACATATTGAATTCTCACCCAGTTGTACAATGGGCTGTCTAATCAGATTGTCTGGGTTCATACCCGTCTCTGACAGTGATAGTTGAATGAACTGAGTAAGCAGCCTAACTTCTAAGCATTCATTTGTTCACCTGTGAAGTGGAGATTACAATACCTACCACAGAGTTATTTTTATAATTGATTAGGAAAATTCATGTTAAACACGCAGTACAGGGTCTGATTCTTAGAAAAAGCTCGGGAAATATTAGATGTGAGAGAGGGAGGGAGGCCATGGTACCTGGCAGAGTATTGGTAAGTTTTGACATGTTACGTAAGCATTACAAACTAAAAGTTCTGAATTAAACTGGCAAAACATTAGTTGTATAGTTTCTTTGATCTAATTACCTCAAAGAAAATAATATAGGAATAAAAGGCAAATAGTAATGTATTTCAGTTATATTATCTGTGACCCAGAGGAAAAGTGGACATATTCAATTAAATTGGCTAATACTACTCCTCAGTGTTTTGTTTTTTTTTTCTTCAAAGGTCTCTTTATTTATTTTGAAAGTCAGAATTATGGAGAGAGAAGGAAAGACAGAGAGATCTTTCATCCTGTGGTTCATTTCCCAGATGGCCACGACAGCCAGGGCTGTCCCAAGCTAAAATCCGGAGCCAGGAGCTTCATCTAGGTCTCCCCCATGAGTGGCAGGGGCCCAAGCACTTTGGACATCTTCCACTGCTTTTCCCAGGTCATTAGCAGGGAGCTGGATCTGAAGTGGAGCATCCAGGACGCGAACCAGCACCCATGTGAGATACCATCATCCCAGGCAGTGGCTTTGCACGCTATACCACAGTGGCAGCCCCTCACTAGTTCTATTTTATAAAATGTTGAGTAAGGGAGAAAAATATAGTCTTTTTTAAAAATACAGCTGAATCCAGATTATGAAATACTGAGTCTGGTAGAGTTTAGCTAACAAATTTATCATTCATGGAGAAACAGGAAGAGATTGGACAAAATTACCTTTTCTGTATTGGGGTTACAGTCATGGATTATAGATTTTTCTCCCATCTCTGTCTCTTTCTTTCTCTCTCTCTCTCTCTCCCTCCCTTCCTCCCTCCCTCCCTCTCAGTCTCTCTCATTTTCACTGACAAGATCATTGTGGAACACAAAAACACTGTGCAAGGATAAGTCATTTATTTCTATTGGAAAAAAAAATTAAGGAGTAAAGATTCTTGGGATTGGTATGAGGTAGTAAAAAAAGGCATTCCTCCATAGTTGCTATAGATAGCAACAAAGCAAGTGCAGAATACAAGTTGCCATTGTACGCTGGCAACCAAGAAATTATCAACAAGCATTCTGATAACCAGATCTGAGAGAAAGTTAAATTATACTTAAAGTAAGATAGAAAAACCCAGGTAGTGGCTGGCGCCACAGCTCACTAGGCTAATCTTCCACCTTGCGGCACCGGCACACCGGGTTCTAGTCCCGGTTGCCCCTCTTCCAGGCCAGCTCTCTGCTGTGGCCCGGGAGTGCAGTGGAGGATGGCCCAAGTGCTTGGGCCCTGCACCCCATGGGAGACCAGGAGAAGCACCTGGCTCCTGGCTGCAGATCAGCGCAGCGCAGCAGCCATTGGAGGGTGAACCAACGGCAAAGGAAGACCTTTCTCTCTGTCTCTCTCTCACTGTCCACTCTGCCTGTCAAAAAAAAAAAAGAAAAAGAAAAACC